TAAGCATTTTTGAAGTGATTTTTAGTAAACAGTTTTAAAGCCCATTCAATTTTGATAAAGTAAGTAAGTAAGTTTAAAGTACAAGTTTCAAGTGGCTACAAATTACCATTGATTTTTTAGAATTTTCTTTTCTTTACTTCTATATAACAAATAAACACAATTAATTTTTATATGTAAGAAAACCGCAGCACCTTAGACGCCAGCAACAACCTTGGGACAAAGTTTCTAACTTTGAATCAAATTCCACTGTAAATACGGTTTTTAGGGATATCTGGAGTGCAGCGCCACTTAACGGGCCAATTTTCACACGAAATATGTATATATTCAAATGATTTTTTCGAGCTCTGGCCAGGGATGATAAATGAGTTTTTTAATTTTGTACCAAATGGCCAAAAAAGTGTACTAAATAAGCCGGAAAAGTACCAACACTTAAAAGACCATACATACATAGTTCAATATACATATGTTTTTAGATTGTCTGTATAAAATACATGATATAAAACATCGAAAGTGGAACACATAAGCGCAAATCAATTGTTTGAAAAGGCCACCAAAACGTCAAGGTAATCAAGAAAAGCATACAAGTTATACTTATTAAGTGCTAGTAATACAAAAATTAAAATTAAAACCGGTGCATTTAACGGAATGGAAGTTTTACAAAAATATTTTGCAAAATATTTCCTTTTATAGAAATAAACAAGTTAATAGCAGTGTTCTTGTACCTAAAATCTTGCAAAGTGGGGGAAATCGAGAACGAAAAAAATGACACTGACACCTGTCCATTTATGCTGGAAAAAATTTTACCTGCGAAAACTTACAAGTAAATGTCTGCTGACCACAACATGTGTTCGTGAATAAACAAAAGAAAGGAAGAAAAGTTTAGTTAATTTACTATTGATCTCTACTATTTGTTGGCCGGAATTTACGCAAAATATTGAGAAATATACCAAAATAGATAATAATGCTGAAAGGTTCTGACCGAATTTGTCAGTTGGTCGTTAAAACGAAAATGGGATAATTTTAAAGACATATATTGATATAGCTAAACTTAATTTTTGTGAAACAAGGAAGGGTGCTTGGAGGAGATTCTTTTATTTTTGAATGCGTCATGATGTGGTTTCAAAAATGTTTGTTAGAAAAAAACTTACTTACCTATCAAAAAGAAAAAGATTGACGTAAGTTTTATTGCGTTCAATAACTTTTTCTGATATTTTAGTCTTCCTCTCAATTTTACTCGCTATGATTATTTTATTCTCTGGCTGCTAGTACTTACTGGAAAATTTTATGAATAGACCTATTAAGACAAAAACTTTTTTTTATTTAAATAAGAGTTTCGTTTTTAATAAACACCAGATATTTACTTAAATAAGGTAGAAAAAGATGACTATATTTTTATGAACAAAAATTCAAAATTCCAAGAAAATTGAGTTTGGTATTTCGACATAATTGTAGTGCAGTACCGTGTCTTGGCAAAAATGTATCAGAAATGCCAATGTAGTACCAATGTACTTTTGGCTTTCAAAATGTATCAAAAAAGTACAATTGTACAATCAATTACATCACTGGCTCTGGCCCTTCTCTTGAACTTCTTAAGTACACATAAGTATGCATAAGTAAGTATTTTTACAAGTGTATGTGGTCACACATAAACGTTTTCAATTATTTTAGTGCAATTTACATGTATGTGTATGCATATATACATACATGCCAACTTACATATTAAATTGTTGTTACTCATGCAACGAAAGCTTTACGAAATTGCCAATTTTTAGCCACATCCAAATTAGTTGGTTTCCATGCTGGCATTAAAGGTATTAAGCACGCTTAATACAAACATAGTTATTTTAGTTGTACGTATTAATATGTATGTGTATAAGTATATAAAGCCGACTTTATGTTCGACTTTGAACCCTACTAATTAATTTGAATATTTCATAAATATTTCGATGAAAATATTTTTTGGTAATACATATTTCGTAATAAAACTAATTATGAAAATACCCAATGCACCTATGTATGTACATAGTAAATTCATGTGTTTGTACATATATGTACATACTGGTACGCAGCTATTGGAAAAATATGCAAGGGCTCAAGCACACCCAGCTGATGTAGGTATATGCATGTACATATGTATGACCTAAGCTTCTAAAAATATAAAATTGTGTACATTTTATTATACGGGGTATTCACGATCCGGTGCATGCGGTACATACGGTACATAAATAGCATGATTGGATAATTTTGTTGTTGTTTCATGTGTTCAAACAACAAAAACATTAGCCAGCATGCATCATGCTAGATAGTATGCACCGGATCGTGAATACCCCTATAGCATTTTATTACATATTAATCATATGTACATACATACGCGTGTACTATGTATAGAGTTTGTACAAAGCTAATGTTTGCTTGATTAGTTGGTGCGTGAATTGCACTTGATTTGTGAAAATATGTACGTATCTATTTTACCAATGCAAATATTTTTGCTGAAATATTGCAATTCTATTTGCTACCACTTAAAATTATAAACTTACAAACGCGATATTCTGTGTGCGCCACTATTTTTGGTGAATTATTTCCAATAATAAATACTGCTGTGTCTATGCTGGTTTTTTAAATAACAGTTTATAAAATATTCAACCTTCATTTTCAATGCCAGTTAGCATTTCGAAAAACCTATTCGTTGCAATATAAAACTTTTGTATTCAAATATGGATGCAACATTTACAAGTAGTAATTAAAAAAATATACGTATATATTTTATTTTAATTATGAAATTTATTGCGCCCTTTAAATCTCAAACGTAGAATGAGCACTTTCTATCCGAAACAGAAAGGTGGTACCTATAACTAAAAATTAGTTATCAGCGTAGAGTAGTTACTTACTTCTAAATGATCGTTATTAAACTTCGCTAATTGAAAATTGATATGCAACCCCCAATTTATTTATTTTGATATTAATTGATTTTGAAATAAAAAGTAAACATTCGATGCAGCATGCTGGGATTTGAGCCTGCTTATATATATATATGTACATAATTATGTATTAAAATTCATTTCAATAAAAATACCAAGATTCCTGCATGACGCAACTTACAATTGCTGGTAGACTCAATCGAATTTCGGCTTGTAAAAACAAAAGTCTTTCTTAAGACAATTGTCGATTATGGCGACAATCTTGAAAGCTCTATTCTGTCTTTTGAAAGACTTAATGAAAGAACTGCCAACGAGGAGGTCTTAGCGTTTTTTGTTTGTTTTTTTTTTTTACATTAAGTTTTCTAAAAGTTAAAAGAAAATTTTTTTAAAGTATATAGTATATTTTTCTTTTTAAAACGATAAAAACTAAAAGTTAAAAGAGAATTAAATTAATTAAATTAAAGTAAGTTTTTCAAAAATTTAATAAAATTAGGAAAAAATATGTTGCTTTTTAAAACAATAACATCTTAAAATTTTAAGAAAATAAGTAAAACGTTGATTAAAAAAAAAGAAGAATAAAATATAAATTTCTTAAATTGAAATGAATTTAAAGCAAATATTTTTCGTTTTGAAAGAAGATCTAATAATTAAATGAAAATAAATAAATACATGAAAATAAAATAAGTTTCTAAATACTAAATGAAAATAAACAAGTAAGAAAGTCTAAGTTCGGTTGGAGCCGAACGTTAAATACCCGGCGCAAGTATTAAATATATGTTTCAAGCATTTCTGAAATTTACCATTAAAGAGGCCGTAATTTTAGTCTGATTTCAATAATTTTCAACGTTTTGCTTTTATGTGGCAAGCACAATAAAAATACCGAGTTTGGTACAAATTGGTAGAACGGTTACCGATATACATATATGTGCGGTGCCACGCCCATTTTCCAAAATTTTACCATAAACGTATTTCTTGGTAAAGAATTGTTGCAAGCATAAATTTTGAATAAATTTGCTTTAATATTTACTGATTTATTGAAGATTTTGTGTTTCTCTAAATTACCGTTATATGGTTATTGTCCGATTTTTTAAATTTTCGGCCATTTAGTATGCTGTATCAAGGCCAACAACTGTGCCAAGTTTGGTAGAAATTGGTACAACGGTTACCAAGATATACACATGTAACCATAAGTGGGCGTGGCTACGCCCGTTTTCCAAAAATTTATAATATTCATATTTTTCGTCTGAAAATTATTGTAAATATCAATTTTGAGTGAATTATCTTCAGTAGTTACTAAAATATCGCAGTTTTCGTATTTCTGGAAATTACCGTTATATGGGAAGTGGGCGTGGTTACAGTCCGATTTCGCCCATTTTCAATACCAACCTACCTTGGATTAACGGAAACCTACATACAAAATTTCGTTGAGATATCTTAATTTTTGCTCGAGTTATCGTGTACATGGACGGACGGACAGACGGACGGACAGACAGACATGGCTTAATCATTCTGAGCATTTATGTATACATTTGTCTATATCTATCTCGATTCGTTTTGGCTGTTACAAACAACCGTTATGTGAACAAAATTAATATACCCTTGTGCACAAGTGCGCTCGGGTATAAAAACACACGTTTCTTTCTAAAGCAATAAAATCTGAAAATTAAAGGAAAATTTTATTAAAAAATAAAAAAAGTTCATACAAATTAAATGAAATAGAAAAACTTTGCATCGATAACTTAAAGTTGTGATACACAATGGCTAGAGGCGTCGCACTATAGGCAAAACACGAGTTTTTTTCCAAAATCGTAGATCTTCGCTTAGAAAAGAGATAATGGAATGAAAATTTTTTTATCGTGAAGATAAATGATCATATAATATAGGAAAACTAAGACATCCCTTTACCGATTTCCAGCGCACCATCATACCCTTTAGCAGTGAGGGTACCGCTTCCTTTTTTTTTTGTTTTTTTTTAAATGAGTGGCGATTTTTATTTTTAAAATAATGTTGGTATTCATGATAATTTACAATTTACACAAAACGTAAATGTAATACAACGAAACACAAATACATATGCACATATCTAAGTCTTAACACTATGTTAACAAACTGCCTAATCGAAAAATTTCTTGAATTCCAAAACACCTTCCCAGTTCTCTTCCCATCCAGGTAGTTTCTTTGCAGTTTCGTACCATTTAGCAACATTAGGGTACTTGCTGATATCAAAACCAGCGCCGTCGAATGTGGAAACCGTAGAGAGAATTGCTAAATCAGCTACGGTCAATTTATCACCAGCCACATATTTGTTGCCTTCTAGGAATGTGTTCAAGAAATCAAAAGCAGTTTCTATCTTTTTATACAATTCAGGATCAGCGGGTTGTTTAGCGAAGATCTGTGGGTAATAGTAGTCGGCGAATGATTTGTATAGAGTGCCCATATCAAAGTATAGTCGCTGATTGACGATTTTCAAGAATCCCGGATTCAAATGTTCACCAGCTTGCAAGTTCAATAATTTCTTATTCAGTTCAATATCAAGGCTCTTGGCAGTCAGAAGCACTGAACGACAAGGTGCAGAACCAGGTAAGTAGTAGAAATCCACCATGTTTCTTTGAAGTATTTAATTTGCTTTCCAAAAGTCCACTTAGTAGTAACATAGTTTTGGTTGAGAGTTGCCGATAGAAGAAACCTCGACCAACCCTGTTTCTAAGTTTTGATCTGTCCGTGAAGAAGTTTACCACTCCCTTCTTTGAGGAATCCCACCCTAGAGAAGGAGCTTCTGTTCAACAAAATGTTAAGCGGCAGTGTTGGTGTGGTTCCTAATGCTCAACTTATTCCGATTTGGGCGATCCGCTGTAAATGCTTCAGTTGTTTTATAAGTGCAGCCTTCTCTAGTGAGTTCCACCAGACAAAGGCTCCGTGAAGCTAGATAGTCTTAAATCTGGTTTAATTGATGTAATGCAACTCCGCCGCGAAGTTTATGGCTGAAGGCATTCTCTAACCACTTTACAAATGTGTGCACGGCGGTAGCTACCGACCTTTTCTTGCAAGAATCTCTGTAAATTATTTTATTTTATTTTTTAATAATTTTACTCAAATGTTTGCCGCGGACAGAACTAACCTTAAAGAGCGAGCGCTACCGTGATGTCGGCAACTTTTGGTTTTAGCAAGTTTACTGATTGCTATCGAGCTATAAAAATTTATGGGATTACCGAAATATAATTAAATTTATCAAGTTGTCGATATTTATTCAGTTATCAATATAAGAGTTAACCAAATTTGTTTAGTTATCGCATCGAGTTCTTGCGCCTTATCGATATTTATTGATCTACTGAAATTTTTCAATTTATCAAATTGAAGTTTTTGGAATTTTCAATATATATTGAGTTATCTAAATTTTAAGGTTATCAAATTTTAACCTGTCGCCAGAGTGTAACGTGTTATCGAAATCTGTCGATAACTTTCGAAAAATATGGAACAATCAAAATTTATTAAGTTATTGCAATTTATAGTTATCGAAATTTTTTCGAGTTCCCGATTTATATCGATACATATATATTTTCGAGTTTACAATATTTACCAGCCCTCTAAATGCAAATTCGAAATTTATCGAAATTAATTGGTTTAATTCAAAGTTCTGCCAAAGTTCTGTAAAGACCTTCAAATATATAAAAAAAGTTGTAGTCACGTTTTAGTTCCAAAGCAGTAGATTTTACGATACGTAATTTTGTACCTTATAAGTTAAACGGCGTGTTAAGTTAGAAAACCTTTTCAAGGCTCTTAAAAACAAGAAAAACGATCGAATTGCGACAGTAACTGGCCCTCTTAGTCAAAATAAAATATCGACATGCTGCACCATTACTAAATTGTATTGCTAATGCCAAGGTAATACTTGAGGAGAAGAATGGCCCGTGTCGTGTGGGTTATATGCCGTATCGGAAAAATTATACAAACCAGAAGGTGCCCAAACAGAGACGATCACCACATCTACTTTTTTACTTTTTTACTTGCTGCATAACCATGGCGAAAGTCGGTTCAGAATGATTGTGAGGGTGGGGTGTGTTAGTGGTGATTCACTCACCATTTCGAGCCACTTACAAAAACCATGGACTAGTTTTTGCCCTTTCACGGGTCATATCACTTTATTGCTCCACTTGGGGTCCCGTCTTGCGCTTTAAGTAGAACCTTCCCGTCTCTAAATACCAGTGCGTAAAGGAGCGGGAGTAGAACCTACTCGCAACCTTTCAATCCGTCTCCTAATACCTAGCCTAGGGAGTAGAGCCTACCCTAGGCATGGTAAAGCCCCCTACTACTTCAGCAGCCGACTAGCGACTGCTCCTTTCCTTTGGATTTGCTGGTCGGCTACTTATTCCAAATTGCCAAACACAAAAGCTCCTATTATTTTTGTTAAAGTTTTCACTTTAGCTGAAATTTTCGATAGGAAGAAAGAACTACATACATATATACATACACATAACCGCCTGGTATTCTCAATTTCCATTCCAATTTTTCTTCGGCTTCCCTCTCACATTATTTATTTTCTTACTGTTATCTAACAACAATATGTTGCAGTGGCATACGCATAACAATGTGCGTTATGTCCGACAACAAACGCTTCACTGCTTCTGTTTACCTAAGTGCGTCTGGTCCGAGCGATTTACAAGGATAACAGCAGCCACCGCAGATGTTGATGTTGCCTCTGTAATGTACTCGTAATGCCAGTTTTCATGTTGTTTACTTGGTTGGAAATTAATTAATTTACCTGCAGTGTGCAGTGTACGTTGCGTAATTCACACACGTACGTAGACGCATATTACATTCATCGTTTACACTTCGCTTTTCACTCTTTTCCTCAAAGCGTCTTTGGTCGGCTGATGTTCTGGCGTTAATGAACATTAATGAGTGGTCTGCAGAAAGTTTTTCGAATGGCCTGAATGACTAAAATGGACAAATGGTGCTGGCAGCAATATGGTTACTGGTACCTAATGACATGCGGCATATGTTTTCGTATGCTCATAAACTACATGCAAACAGCAAAACAAACGGACTATAGAATTCTAAAATTTCGAATTTGTGCTTAAATTAAAAGGGAAAAATTTGTATAGACAATAGCTGACCACGCAACCATTTTGAGATGATTGAAGCTTATGCTGGTATTCGGTAAGTCAGTCTCATCTCAAGTCAGTAAATTTGAGACTACGTCTATGTATAAATTAGGGACGGTTTTTGTGAATTGAGAGGACTTGTGTATTCAGTACGAGAGAATCACACAAAAGTTCACCAAAAATGTGTAGTGTAAAAGCAGAGGCATTCAACTGATAGCATACTTAGGGCTGTTTGTTCAATGTCCGGTTAACACAAATCGGAAGTAAAAGTTCTGGTTGAATACAACGGCTGCTTTATCAACCGCATGTAGTATGCATGCTGTCGAACGAAAACGTCGATAATGATGTTTAACTGGGAGGTAGTGATAAGCAGACATCGAGCAACCGATATTTAATAAAAAAATTAAAATGTAAAACCGCCGAGCGGCAGCCTTAATATTTCTGAAGTTTGCCAACATAGGCAAAATATTTTCAAATTTTCAATCTCACACACATGTACATTAAGTCGTATCACGACATATGAAACAAAAAAAAATGATTAGCGTGTGGCAGTTTTATTTAAACATTTTTTTTTGTCGAGAGAGAATTTTGAGTTTTTTTCTATAACATTCTTATTTTCTATCCGATTTTCGAAATATTTATATCGCTAGAAAGGCCCCGTTCTGGACTACAATCAGGCATTAAACAGTTTTGGCCTTCAAACCCCTTTTAATTCATACCTTTACTAATTTTGGAACTACTATCCCTAGATTTTTATTTTTATACTATAAATCTAAAGTTCTAAAATAAAATATATTACAACTTTTGCTAAAAAGGGTTACGCTTTACTCAATTATAGTCCTTCTGGGTGACATACAAATTTAAAAAATCGGATAGCAAATAAGAAGGTTAAAGCAAAATACGCAATTTTGCGGTTTTCAGCGGGTGCATAAAAAATAAGTTTTGCACCCAAAATTTTTTCTCGGCATAAGTATTCAAATAAAACTGACACAAGCTAAACTTTGTTTCGTGATACGCCTTAATGTAAATTCTCACTTTCAGTCAACTATTAGTATTTTTCTATTTTACAGGAAAAGCATAAAGCATTACGCAAAGAAAATCAAAAACTGCAGATAGGGCTATTTAAAAAGTGGCAGAACGAACAATTTGCTGCTGCTTAAACAGATCACGGGCTGCCAAACCATAGTGTAACGGAAGGCAGTGCTCTAGTTGCATGGGGAGATTGGAGTGGTTGCTCTTTTCAAAAATAAAAAAACTACTACCTAAATTTAAACTCCATTCTCTGAATGGCGTTATATTGACCCTAGATACATGGGAAGAATCTTGTATAAGAAGCAGCCTGGAAAAGGAACTCTGAACAAAGAACCAGGAAGGCCATCACTGTCCTATAAGCCTACAAGTCTGCTATTGGTCAAAAATGGGACGAGAAACCATGGATAGTGCACTGTAAATACTTCCATGCCACAGTTTGATGAACACCCTTAGATAAATCTTCTATAAGACACACTTGTGATACCGCATGTGGGGCCAGTGTCAAGGAGCCTATATCAGACGAAAGCTAAGGGAGATGCCAGGTGATGAGAGTATGAATGGACTCTCCACGCCTTACATCGCCTTGTTTCCACTCTTCCTAGCGTGCAAGTTGCGTAAGTGCATAGTTCACTAATCCACCAATCGAGGAAGCTCCGTTAGTATTCTACCGTCGCCGTAACTGGTATTTGGCCACTTAAGTATTTAGATTGTTACTTCAAATTTCCGGTCCGATTGCGACCTGTTGGCGTGTAGGTCTACCAGAAGAAAATTCCGTAAGTCATACAGTGCCTTGGATGGTGTTATGAGTGCGGACGCAGGCCTTTGAACTTTATAAAATTTTTTAAACTTTACCCCTTTCACAGGGATGTCCCACGATACTACTATGCACACCGATGGGTCCAAATTAAACCAAAGAGTTGGAAGTGGTTTATACTACAAAGAGATGTCACTATAACTGAATTTTCGACTGCCAGACCATTGCGGCTTATCCCTAAATCAGCCCTGAAGGGGGTCGATAAGATCCAGTTATGGTTAAAAAAGTTGCAATAAAATATTGGAACTTTCAGAAAAATACAAACCAAAGGTATTGAGGGTGCCTGGTCATAAAGATATTTTAGGGTCACCAAAGGGACGAACTTGCAAGATCAGATTCCTGAAGTCCTTTGCAAGCTTTAGCTTAGAATGGATCGAAAGCTCATTCAAGATTCTACTTTATTGAGAAAAGCGACAGACCTAAATGTACTACTTGTAAATTTTTCTTTTTCCTGGCTTAGAAAATTTAATAAGCTAATACGAGTTTACTCACAGATCTTGGATTACTTATCAGGACATGCACTGTATTTGCTTGCGTTTTAGTTGGACATTTATTGCATCAGAGAATGCTACTTAAACAAACGCTTGAATGTTTTTGCTGAGTGAGATGAGTGGGTGGAGGAAGAGAAAATACCCTTTATATAATAATGACGCAATAATAACCAATGCAGGCTGCTTGCTCATTACCATCCAGATTAT